CCTCCTCACCTGCCTCCTCACCTGCCTTCTCACCTGCCTCGCTGCGCCAGCGTGCCCGGAGGGGCAGGGGAGCCGCCCCACACAGGCCGCCTGCTGCCGAACCTTCGCCCCCTTCGGGTCAAGGGGCCCCTCTGCAGAGGGATCTGGACAGGCCGAATCGATGGGCCGAGGTCAACTGCGTGAGGTTCAGTGAGGTTCTGGACTTTGGTCACAACAACCCTAGGCAACGCTACAGCTAAAGCTGCCTGGCAGAAAAGGACCTGGAGATGCTCATGGACAGCCACCTTGGCCCAGATGGCCAAGAATGCCAACAGCATCCTGGCCCATATCAAAAATAGCGTGGCCAGCAGGAGCTGGGAAGAGATTGTGCCCCTGGACTCAGCATGGGTGGGGACACATCTTGAGTACTGTGTTCAGCTGGGGGCACCACAGTATAAGAAAGACACTGAGGAGCTGGAGCAGGTCCAGAGAAGGGCAACAGGGCTGGTGAAGGGCAACAAGGCTGGGGAACATGGTTTTTGAGGAGCAGCTGAGGGAACTGGGATAGTTTAGTCTGGAGAAGAAGAGGCTGAGGGGAGACCTTATTGCTCTCTACAGCTCCCTGAAAGGAAGTTGCAGTGAGGTGGGTGTTGGTCTCTTCTCCAAGGTTAACAGCAATAGGACAAGAGGAAATTGTGTTTAGATTGGGTATTAGGAAGAATTTCTTTCCTGACAGAGTGGTGAGGCATTGGCTCAGGCTGCCCAGGGAGGTGGTGGAGTCACCATCCATGGATGGTTCAAAAAACATGTATATGTGGCACTTCAGGGCGTGATTTAATGGTCATGATAGTGTTGGGTGATGGTTGGGCTTGATGATCTTAGAGGTCTTTTCCAACCGTAATGGTTCTATGAGTCTGTGATTCTATGACCTCCCTCATGCTGCCTTTTCTTTTTGCACAGAACCAGTTTGTGTACAGAGATGGTGGCTACGCTGCAGAAGTGCCGATGCCGTACAGAGCCCCGGGCTGTGTGATACCAGAAGCCCCGGTCGCTCAAGGGGCCACGGCAGAGATCTTTGAGGATCCTTGCTGTAATGGCACGCTTCGAAAACAAGTGGCCACCCTGGCAAAAGAGGACAGCAGCACCCAGAGGTACAGCGCTGACCCCACGGTCTTCGTTCCCGAGCGGGTCGCCCGGGGAGAGCTGGATGAGGACGGGTACATGACGCCGATGCGAGACAAAGCTAAAACAGGTAAAGTATTGTCCTTCCAGAGAAGCTCTTGGTCTAGCCTAACTCTTTTCTCTCTTTTTTTAAATCAGAAGCTTTTCACCAAAAATGGCTTCATCGAGTAACCCAGCAAGGTTGAAACTTTCTGACTAGGTTAATATGTCTTTGCATGGGGATTCATTTTCCTTTGCTTAATTTTCTCCTTAGAAAAGCTCAAACGTGCCAATATGTCAAGTTCAGTAATTCCCCCTTTTCTTTCTGGGAAATAATGAGAGGAATGAAAAAAATCCAAAGCTAATCAAAATCCAAACACAAATCTTCATTTATTTCCAAGAAAAAGGTCTGTCTTTGGCCAGCTGTAGTCTCCACTTCCCTTTGTTTATTGATCGTCTTTATCTTCATGGCATTGTGCTTGGTAAATGTCATGTTGAACATATCACAGAACTGATGTACACAGTTGGCATCTTATACCCAAGAGAAGTTTAGGATTGAAAGAACAAGATGTGCTTCAGAGAGACCATCACTGCAAGGTGAAGTTTGCCTACATCTGTGCCAGCTCAGAGTGCTACGCTTCCAAGTTTGCCATCATTCCTCTCTTTTTAAACAGTGACAGCAGGCATTTAAATGTGAAGGGATGTGTCATTAATAATTTGCTTTCAAACCTTTGCACTAGCTTTAAAGAAATTAATTAATGCAAATGTAAATGCCAAGTAACCACTGTGTTTGTTAATAATTTGGAAGCCGCTTACCCTTTCTGTTTGAAATGGAAGAAGCCCTGGGGCTTGACCCAGGCCAGTGCCAATTGTGGGAGTGCACTCATGGCCCTCCACTTCAGTGACCACCCGTGCAATAAGAGGTTTGATGCTGCGAGTTGGCCTCAGTGAGAGCACACACGTGGTCACACACAGGTTCACCCTGGGGAGCCTCGGGACTTTGCAGGAACTGAACAATTCACAGGTCCTCCCTGAGCCCTCTGAGATGCTGTGGGAGCTGCTCAAGAGAAAACAGCTCCTTCCTGTCTCACCGGGCACAGACACAGGGACTCACAGTGTGGATGTGGTGCTGTCTGCTCTCTGTCAGCCAGGGGCTTCAGATCTGCCTGGCTGTCATCACTAAAACAAATAAGCAAATGTTTCCGCTTTGCTCTTGATACAACTCCACAGGAGCATCTGCGCACCTTGGATTCAGCAAAGTTTTAGCTGTGTGTTCAAAGGTACTCGCTAATCATTTTGGCCCCATCCTGGATAAAACCAGAGCTGAAGTGAGGGCCACAGCCACCCTCTCAGACCAGGCAGGGGCCTGTTTCCCTGCAGGCAGGATTCTGAAGGCGTCTCCAGAGTCATACCAATGGAAATGGAGGTCTTGTGTTGGTGTCCCTGTGCAACACAGGCAGGCCTAGAGATCATCCCTCACTAATGGCAGTGGCTTGGAGACCCTGCTTTGTAAGGAATCCCTAGGCTGTGAGATGACAGGCAGAATTACTACTGAAGTGGATTTGATCTGATGATTTGGATAAACTGGATGTTTTTGTGACACCTCTTGCTGCAGCAATCCCCTCCTCAGTCACTCTTGTCCCCAGCTCACCTCCAAGCCATGCCCTTTGAAGCCCAGTTGCAGCCTGCAGTGCCCAACTGATGGGCTTCTGTTCTGCAGCAAGACCTCCTTACACACAGAGCAAGGCAGGACGTGACACAGTGAGCCCATTGCTCCGTGACTTGGTCACCTGTGTGTGACCATGAGAGAGGCCTAACTAAGCACCAAGTGTGCCTTTTTAACCCAGGACAGGCAATCGCTTTATATTTCTCTTCCTTCCCCATCTCTGTCCAGCTTTCCATACAAGCTCCATATGCCTTAAAAACCTTTCTGCAATTCAGCTACAATTTTTTTTTGTGGTGTTAATCCACAGAAGGTGATTTGAAGCAACTGTAACCTGCTCCAAGTCCTGTTTTGGAGCTCTCCTATACCCTTTCCAGGGCTCATTTGAATCATTTTTTTTCCTAATGTTTCAACGCCCTTTGTCCTTCAGGGATGGAAGGTTTTTAATCAGGCAAATTGTTCTGTTAGAAATGAAGCTGTCTTAGAAGTTAGCCCTTGGGGATGGTTTTTGTGCAGAGAGGCTTAACTAAGATTTCTATAGAGCTTTCTGGATGGAAAGACTGCAGAGCAGAGGGTTGGACTGACACGTCCAAGGTTGCACACAGAGTCAGGAGCAGAGGCAGAAGTTGCTTGGTGTGCTTGCTCTGTAGATCCTGCACTGAGAGGAAGTCCAGGATCAAGCAAGGCACACGGGCTGTGGCTCAGCAAGCATTCGCCAGTGTGTTTGTGGAGTCACTTTGTCTTCAAGGGTCTTCATTTGAACCCTTCTTGTCTGTTTAGGTTGTAAATTCTTCACTTCTAGCAAGCGTGCATTCAGCAGTCGGCACCTGATCTCATCTGGAGTTCTAGGAGTGGCTGGGGTGGAGGACGTACAAGTCCAAGTACTGCTTCTTTTACAGCCTAATAAAAACACACACGTGATGCTTGCTGCATGGATGGATTACTCTCTTTCTTTGCTGATTTATTTTTTATCTTTCCTTAGATTACCTAAACCCGGTGGAAGAGAACCCATTTGTTTCTCGACGAAAGAATGGAGATCTCCAAGCTGTGGACAACCCAGAATACCACAACGCTCCGAACGGGCAGCCCAAAGCAGAGGACGAGTACGTGAATGAGCCGTTGTACCTCAACACTTTTGCCAACACCTTGGAAAATGCTGAGTACCTGAAGAACAATTTGCCAGAGAAAGCCAAGAAGGCCTTTGACAACCCAGACTACTGGAACCACAGCCTGCCCCCACGAAGCACCCTCCAGCACCCAGACTACCTGCAAGAGTACAGCACAAAATACTTTTACAAACAGAACGGACGGATCCGGCCCATTGTGGCAGAGAATCCTGAATACCTCTCCGAGTTCTCCCTGAAGCCTGGCACTGTGCTGCCCCCGCCACCCTACAGACACCGAAACACAGTGGTGTAGGGACCGCGGTCTCACCCAAGTGGAAAGGCAACCCCTTCTAACTGCCTCACTCTTCCTCTCTCGCTCACCTCTTCTCCCTCCATCCTTCCCTCCCATGAGCTTCCTCTTCTTGCCAGTTCACTCATTTTTGATATTTCTAAGTGAAAGGGTGTCTTGGAGATTTTTGCAGATTGGTTTGGGATCCTGGAAGGAAGAAAGGAAGGAAGGATAGGAGAGAGACTGAAGGAAGGTGTGTACCACCTGGCATTTCTCACTTTCCACAGATCCAGAGGGTCGGAGGGTCAGAGAGGCCGGAGTTCCGGTGAAGGCCAGTGGCAGTGTTGCCTGCTGTCGAGCTAGTTCTCAGTGGTTCAACCCAGCGACTGTAGGGAGGGCCAGAGGCTGTTTCTTTCAGCTGTTTCTTTCGGCAGGAACTGATGAGACTCTACAGCATTCCTGGAAATCTCAATCCAATTCCCATTAGGGGGAGAAATGGACAATTTTTATATCACATGTGATAGCATAGTAATGGAGATTGAGAATCCAATTTCTTTCTCTAACACTTTCTATCTCAGCAACTGAAAATGGCTAACCTGGCTTTTCATAATCCCTTCAGATCTTCATCGTGGCTTTCCAAGAAATGATGATGAGACAATATACCGCTAAATCCTTTTTCCAAGCCACACCACAGTTTTGTGCCAATTCCTAACCACAGAGACTCCGCTCAGCACTGGTATGTGACATGACCGTTTTTGCGTATGTGCCAACACGACAAACACTTTCAACACAAAAACCCTTTCAGAAGAGAGTGAGAAAACCACACCTCCAACATGTTATTTTTGAAGCTGAAAGACAGGCCAAGAAACCAAGATTTGTATGCAAAAAGATTTGCTTTCCTGTTTTAGACCTGGTGACTATGAATATATAAAAACACCTAAACGAATTCTTCCCCCTTTTTCTTCTCCATGACCATGAAGGGAATTGGGGATGCTGTCAGGCAACACTGAGGACAAGATGGAGAACTGGAGAGTTTGATGTGGGGCATGAAGTCTGCTGGTGTTCTGTGGGTTGGTGGTGGGAAGGGTCCTGTAAACTGGAAGACAGACACTGGACTGGAGAAAACGCACATAGTGGTTCACTGGAAAGATAGTTTGCACTTAAGCTCTGATTTTATTTGAACTGTTTTCTGGATTTTGAATGAAGCAATATGGAAGTGACCAGCAAAATACAAAATAATAACTTTAAATTAAAAATAATGAATTCTGTGTAAAGGATGACTGTGGAAATGCCAAAATGAAGCAAATCAAGTCTTTGGAACAATGACTGCCAGTTCTGAGAGGCCATTGCATTGACTGCTTCAGAGAATACAGTGACAGAGCAACCAGCTCTTCCTGCTGCCACGTGAAGGACAGCAGAGCAAGCCCTGGGAGGGATTCGGAGGAGACAGTTGTCTCGTTCTGGCTTGCAGCACAGTATGGGATGCTTATCTCTAAAAGGAGGATTACTCTGGCAGAGAAGATGGTGCATATGAGGTTTGAGAAGTCAAAATGTGCATGACTGTCAAAAATGTAAATAGGTATTGAGTCAGTCTCCTTGCACTTAGTTTTGCTTTCATCAACCTCAGTTTTTAGGTAGACACCCCCACCCCAACCCCTGGCCTGCTCCTCTTTGGAAATCTCTTTCAGCCAGAGTTCTGGACGTTTTTAGCAACCTGAGGTGGATGGAGCTGGGAAGGGAGGCATAAGGACCAGAGACTCTGATGGCTTGCTCCTGACACACCAAGACCCATGTGTGTAAGAGCATTTGCATACCTAGTTCCCACCAAAACTCTTGAGGAACTATTAAGTACCTTTGAAGATCTCCTTATGTCTCTATCCATCAAGGCTTTTAAAGAGGAAGGAACAAAACCTGGTGGATGGCAATCTGAGATGACACAACAGCGTTTCCGTTTATGCACTTCAGTGCTGTTAAATTCTAGACCTTTGGGGTGACCTAGCCTGGGAACAAAACCTGCAACTAGCAGTGGTCTGGAAGTGGAATCAAGCTTCTCCAAATTCCTGCCATCTCAACAGCTTGCCACCTTTAGTTGTAGGGAAGCAGAGGAAGGAGTAAGAAACAAGCAATAGTTACCCAAATCTTGGTGGCTGAGGGTCAGCTTGACAAAGGTATGAAGGGATTTCAAACCTGGGTTGGTTGTTATGCTTGTAGATGGAAAACAAATTGTGTATGGTTGCTAGGTCAGGGTTGGTTCAGCCAATAGCCTGTTTCTGCATCAGGTGTGTTCAGGCCCACCAGAACCAGCTGTGGGGCGGACACTAAACCTGCAAACCAGGTAGGTAGCTGAAAAGTCTGAAAACAGCCAGGACACGTACACATCTTTGAAGCTGTTAGAAGGAGATGTTGGGTCAGGTGGTACCAAGGTGGTTTGTACCTTGAACAAAATGGCCATCAGACCACTGAAGTGGGATAGATGGTTCGAAAAACATCATGTATCCAAGAGACATCACGGGGGTCCCCTCCTGTAGCTCCTCCTCATCTTGGCAGGAGACAGAGGCAGGCACCGGGAAGGGGCTGGGGGCGCAGGGGGGTGGTGGAGCAGAGGGGTGGCAGGAGGTCCTGGAGACGCTGCTCCAGGGAAGGTTTGCCAGCGGTAGCGCTCACAGGGTGTCATCTGGAGCACGGGCAAAGGCCTGCTAGGTTGGGATGCAGTTGCCAAGCTGCCTGGGGACAACAAGTGGCACAGGAGCGTGGATGTCCCGTTTCAGCACAGAAGCAGCGTGGGTTGCATAGGTAGGTGGAGAAGGGGGTTGATTTGTCCCTGGACAAGTCTTTGTAACTGAATAACTCCTCATGGAGAAAAAAACAAATCAACTCCTGGAGTTTTGAACTCATGTGTTTGAACTGAGAGGTGCTCTCAAAGGCTGCCGGGCAGGAGCGCGCACAGCCCGGGTGGGGTGGTGCTGGGGTGTAGCTGCTGACAGAGGGTGAGGCCTGGTGGTTTCTCTGGTGATGGAGCAAGTACCAGTGTTGGAAACAAGCCCATCAAGTAATCAAAATGTAAATAATTGAGGGTTTTTAAAAATTCAACATTTTATTTCTTACAAAACTTGAATTATTTATTCATTTTACTTGTTGACTGTGGGTGTGATATAACGCAGTGGGTAGGGTGGAAACGCAGAGGGTCCCTGGCGCGAGGCAGCACGAAGGCCGGGATGGCAGCTCCCTTCTGCTGGGGCTGAGCTGTGCTGGTAGTGCCTGCAGCAGCAGGGGCAAACAAAGGGTTAATGAACACAGGCATGTATGAGTATGGAAACTTCAACAGACCACAGCTTCAGCTTCATACATGGGTGGGTTTTTTCTTTGGTCTTTTTCTTCCTGAGCTTCTGATTTGAGTTGCAGTTGCCAGAGATGGTCCTTAAAGTTTCCTGGCCTCTGTGGTGCATCTGGGCCTAGGTGGTGCTGAGCATCTGGTTGAGTGGTTCCCTCTCCCAGGAAGGGTAGCAAGGTTCTGGACACAGCCCGTAAATGGGCACCTGTCCCAGAGTAGTGCTGCTGATTTCTGTCTCTTTGCCAAAAATAGTTTAACCATGGTTAAAAAAGCAGAATGGAGAGCGGAACTGTAGGGCTGCTTCAGTCTGATCAGCGGAAGTACCTGGCTGGCCCCAACACGTGAGTTTGACTTGGAATGGGTAGAGCTGCTGGCTTGCCAAAGAATTTGGCCAAATGTATTTGGCAAATACCCAGCTGATGAAGTTGTTAAACCTGAGGGTCGGGGGTTTTAACAAATAATTACAGGTTTGGGGGAAAAGCAGATGTTTCCTCACACAAACTGCATTTTGTCAGCACAAAGCGGCAGGTGAGCGCGTCAGCACAAGTGCTTTGTCTGGCTGTCATTGTCTGCAGGGGTAGCTGTGCACAGCTGCCCCGTCTCATGGAGTTTAAGGCGTGGTGGTCTCCTCTCGGTGAGTGTTCTCCTCTCCCGTAGTGCAGCTGGCACGGCAGAACAGCAGGGACCCACTGCCCAAGAGCAAGTACCCGGGTGCGTGTCAGCTATTGACCGAGGTGCAGGAAAAAGCATAAATCAAAGCGAGCAGCAGCTTATTTTTTCCCAATCTCCTTCAGTGGTACTTGTCTTAGATGTTATTACCTACCTGAGGGTTATTTCAGACGTGGATGCTGGATCTGATTGACTTGCTGTAACATAATTGACTGAAACCAACTACTTTTAAGTTCCCTCCTTCAGCTCTTTTCAAATTTTTCTTTTTCTGCAAAACAGCCAGGAGGGATTCTTGCCTGGCCGTTCACTCCGATGCAGCAGAGTATTTGCAGCTTTCTTTCAAACAGGTCCTCCTGCACAGGTAGCAAGCAATGAAAATAAATCTGAGCGAGTGTCAGCAGTAGGAGGCACCAGGTGGGTCTGTTTCGGGTACCTCAAGCTCAGCCCTGAAATCCTTTCCTTTGTACAGAGGACAGTGGCATTAGCCTGTCTGCGCTGCTTGGGAGAAAACACATCTTTGGCTGTGGGAATTGTAAACGATGATCTCATTCCAGTTATTCCCTGGAGATGAGGGAAAGAGTGGGGAGATGCCTGTTCTGTCCCATCCCGTCCCACAGCTGATGTGAGTAGCTGTGCTGCTGGGGCAGGGCAGCCAGCACCCATGCCACTAGTGCCAGTCTCCAGTAAAGATTTGAGAGGGAGTTACAGGGGAGCATTTCCCCCCACCCTCAGCCACTGCCCAGCCCAGGCTTGAAGCAAAGAAAACGGCAGCTCTGGGAGACAGCTCAGCCCTGACTCTGGATCCATTCTTTCCATAGTTGTAGGTAGGGCTGGGCAGTGTGGGTGAAAGGTGCTGGCTGCCAGGTAAGTCAGCCTGGAAATACAGCTTGGGATTGGAGGGGTGAGTATGGAACCATACGGGAAACTTGGGTATTAAAGTCTTTTATTTTCTGATGGGGCGCCTGTGTAAATGTCTCACATCATGGTGGCAGCTGAAGGAATGAAGGGATACTGCCCAGGAGAGGAGGTGGCTTTGGCACAAGTCAGAACTAGGCCTGTCGGGACTGTTGAGCTCGAGTAGGTACCTACCTGCTTTGAAGGCTCCGTAGCTCGAGGGTGACTGGTGGGACAGAGGCTCTAGCAGGACCCAGAGCTGAGCCTCTGGTTATCGGTCACCTCTTTGGCTCTTAAAAAAGCGCTTCTCAGAGGGGACAGTGTCACCTCGAGTCCCCTTCAGAAGGTGGCGTTACTTCAGCCGCATACAGACTGCGCACCCCTTCGTTTCTTGCTC